CTGATTAGGGTTGAAAGTAAACTTTACAGGAGACTGGCCAGCCAGAACTGAGTTTGGACACCCCAGTCTAGAATTAAAGTTTTTTTTTTTTTTTTTTTTTACCTCAATTTGCAAATTTAGGAGACTTTTGATAATTTACATTTAGGGTACATTTAGGGTCTCTGTCATGTTAATGTATGAAAGAGAATTGTTACATGCATATTGTTTGCTGTATGGAATGCAAAAACTTTAAAGCTCAATTTCTTAAAATTAGTTAGAACGCAGATAGAACCTTATAATTCTTAGGCGACGTTACAATTAAAAACTTTTAGTTTGGATGTAATGACTTTGCTATAACATTGTATTTACACCTGTGATGTAATATGTAATTACAAACTTTTATTTTGTGAGCAATTACTCTACCACTACATTGTAATTACTATGTCATTATATTGGGATTGCATTGTAGTTACATCCAAGATAATATTTATAAATGTAATTTTTTTGTGTGTATTGCAAGTACAGTATTTGGTTATTAATAGTTGTATAAATCAACATATACAGTACACATGAATTTCATACTTTTATCTTGTGTAATTAGTGTATCGTGACATTGTAATTACTTTGTCATTATATTGTAATTACATTGCTGTTAAATTGCAATTACATACAAGATAATATTTATAAACATTTGCTTCATTGTACATTTCAAGTACAGTTTTTGTGTATTTATAGGTGTGTGTGTATATATATATATACATATATACATACATATATATATATATATATATATATATATATATATATATATATATATATATATATATATATATATATATATATATACACGCAGTACATATGTACAAACCTTTATTTTGGATGTATTGAAATTGTGATTTCATTGTTGTAACACTGTAATTACATCAGAGATGTAATATGTAATTACAAAATTTTATCATGTGTGCATTTACTGTGTATTTACATCCAAGATAATATTTATAAACTTAAATGTTTCTTTGTATATTTCATGTACATTATTTGTGTATTTATAGGTAAATATATACGCAGTACATATGTAATTACAAACTTTTATTTTAGATGTAATTACTATGTCATTACAATATAATTACTATCTATTAACATTGTAATTACATTGTTATAAGATTGTACAAACATCTATGGCAGGGGTGGCCAACCCTGTTCCTGGAGAGCCACCTTCCTGCAGATTTCAGTTGTTACCCATATCAAACACACCTGAACCAATTAATTAGGACCTGAACGCCACGTGATAATTACAGTCAGGTGTGTTTGATATGGGTTGCAACTGAAATCTGCAGGAAGGTGGCTCTCCAGGAACAGGGTTGGCCAGCCCTGATCTAAGATCATATTGGTAATGTGTTTTTGTATATTTCATGTACAGTATTTGTGTATTATAGTTATATACATGTGCAGTACACATGTACACCGTAAACATATGTAATTGCAAACTTTTATCTTGGTTGTATTTACTATGTCGTTACATTGTATTTACATTGTGATTACATTTTAATTACATTTTAATTACAGATTTACAAACATGTTTGTATATTGCATTTACAGTGTGTATTCATAGTTTATACGTAAATGTACACAGTACACATGAATATAATATGTAATAACAAACTTATCTTGTAAGTAATTACTCTGTAATACATATAAATGTAAATGCTTTGTATATTACATGTACAGTAATATAGTTGTTTACGTAAATATACAAAGAACACGTGTACTTACAAACTTTTATCTTGGATTTAATTACTGTGTTGTTACATTGTAGTTATTATTTTGTTATTTAATTATAGTTACATTGTAGTTACATCCATGATATTATTTAGAAATCTGAAAGTTTCTTTGTATATTCCATGCACAGTAATTGTGCATTTAAATGTAAATTTGCACAGTACATAATTAAAAACTTTTTTTTTGGATGTAATTAATTTTGTCATTACATTATAAATACTACATAATGGAATAGTGATTACATTGTTATAACATTGTAATTTCATTGTTGTAACATTACATCTATGATAGTATTGTAAATATGTTTTTGTATATTTCATCTACAGTACAGTATCATTACCTTAGAATTATAAGGTTTCATTTTTGTCAAAACTGAGTTATTCACATATTCACATTAAATGATAACTTGCTTAAATTATGTGATTTTTTATAAGTTGTTTACATTTTAGGACTTTTTTTATAAAACAAAAAAGGTTATATATACAAAGTCAAACTCTACCTTTGCTCTATAAGGTTCTTTCTGTGAGCCAATCAGCATTTTGAAAGCACACACAAAGACCAATCAAGATCAGCTTTCTTTGTCATTTTGCCAGATTGCTCCGTTTACAGTGAGAAAGACCAGAAACACAAGAGTTGACTAAATAATGCTGCACCACATGAAGTTGAGAAGAAACCTGAAACTGAAAAAACTGTGTAAATGTAATGATTTAAGGTTTTTTTTTTTTTTTTTACAATGAGATTTAATGTACAATTTTGCAATGTTTCAAAAGTAAAAGTTATTAATAAATGAAATATATTAAATGTAAAATATTTTTATTTGTGTATATATATTTAGTAAACCAATTTTCAGTGTTTATTAAACTGATTTGCTCATTGTCTGTCTTCTTTTAAAGTTTTTAAATTTGATATTAAGCCTTGAGGGGCAACTAATTTATTTCATTCATGAGATTTTAATTACAACAATAAATATTACCATATCAATTACATAAAATGAATATAATGCTCTAAACAAAATATTTAGCACAGTCTTGTATGATTTACCTTTAACATTTTTATCTATGATTTAACAAAAATGTAACTTTCTCAAACATCAGCATATTGTTACAACACCAATTAAATTTTTTTTTGTTTTAATTAAATGAATAAACAGAATGATTGTATTTCTTGAAAAGTAATGCTTCAGTTAATGATCTGCTTGGTAGAACCCTATAATTCCATGCAGAAAATTACTTTTTACTTCTGCATTTGCCCATTTTTTATTTTTATTTTATTTATTTTATTTACATTTTTTACTCTAATTAGCAAATATTAGAGAATTTTGATTATTTACATTTAAAGTACATTTCTGTCATGGTATTGTATGAAAGAGAACTGTTTCACACATATTGTATGCTATATGGAATGTAAAAACTTTGAAGTTAAATGTCTCAAAATCATTTAGAACGCAGATAGAACTTTATAATTACAAGATGACGAATTTACCAAGAATAGATAACATGTTTGCTTCATTGCAGTATTAAAGTATGCAAGTAAAGCTTTGGATTAAAACAGATAGCTGTAGCATACGGAAGCTTTTAAACAAAATGGCCACACATGAAAGTATGATTTCCATAATGTGACTGCTAATGAAGATATGATGGAGCGCATTAAGAATGGTCTTATCTTCTTCGTCCTCTTCACAACAACCAGAATGAGAGGAAGCTGTTGAAGAGATTTATTAGTCACATTCAGAAGCCATTATTCTGAAGACAAGAGATGGAGTTATGACAAAAGAGATCACAAGACTCAGGACAGCCTGACAGCAAATATTTCTTTTACATTCACCACAATCTGTATGCCCTTGATTCCTGACAGACTTGACCCATTATTACACTTTGCTAGACTGTTATTGTGTAAAATTAAACACTATTAACCTTTAAACATATCACACTGTTTAAATGTGTGGGTCATTAATTATGCTGGCACTTGCTGACATGTCATCAAGTTAGAATTATAAGGTTCTGACATTATTTTGACATTTTTGTCAAAACTGAGTTTTTGACAAATTCTTAATAAATGCCAGTTTATTTAAATTATAGGATAATTTTTACAAGTTGTTTACATTTTATGGCTTTTTTAATTAAAAAACAAATGTTACACACATACTGTTTGCTATGGAAAGCTTAAACTTTGAAGCAAAATCATTCAGAACGCAGAAAGAACCTTATGAATCCTAGGTGACGACGTGTCTAGTTTAATATATCTTGATTATTTATGTCCAAATAAAATTCACATTAGGTAGGCTACTAGTTTTTGGGGGGGGCATGGTGGCGCAGTGGGTAGTAAGATCGCCTCACAGCAAGAAGTTAGCTGGGTCAGTTGACATGGTGAATTGACTTGCCCATAGTGTATGTGTATGAATGAGAGAGTGTATGGGTGTTTTCCAGGGTTGGGTTGTAGCTGAAAGGGCATCCACTGTTTAAAACACATGCTGGATAAGTTAGCGATTCATTCTGCTGTGGCGACCCCAGAATAATAAAGGGTATAAGCCAAAAAGAAATGAATGAATGAATTTTATAGAGTTATTTTTATTTTTATTATTTCTTATATATTACATTGCTTCAAACTAAAATTGTCAATTCAAGTCAGTTTGTTAAAGTGTTTTCACAAAATGCATGTATATATCAAAAGTTTAGCAGGGATCAAGGTCCCATGATGTAATTTAAAAGCAGAATAAATGAAAAACACTTTATGCATGAAATATGTGTGTTAAGGAAACATTTTTGTGTGTGCTACAATTTCTGAATAATCAAATTCATGGTTTCAGCTAAAAATCTTCAGCCCAAATACCTAAAAAGTAATCCTAATCTTGCACTGCTTAAGGGTTAATAATACACAAACACACATGCACACAAAATTGAAGGCTAGTGTTAATGTTAATCTTTTTTTTTTTATTCAACACCCCCTGAAAATATACAGAAACAGTATGAAATGGAGTAGAATTTGCAAAAATTGTTGCAGTTGGAAAGCTAGAAAATAATGATAAAGGTTTACTGGCAAAGAAAAATGTGAATTCAGCATCCCACATATTTTAAGATTTTTTTTTTTCAAAATCAAGACATTTCAAATAAAGTACTGAGAACTAAGGCAATTCATACGTCCAAGGTTACAGCACTGTTTCACAGGAAAAATATTAATAAATAGAAATACACCAATCGTTGAATAGCACTGCGTCACTGCTCAAGGTTCGCGTCTGTACGCCTCCTCATCATATAAAAGCGGCTGAACGATGCGCTTGTGCAGACCTTTGAGAGTTAGTCCTCAGCAGTGAATACGGCAGTTTTACGCACAGCTCATGTACAAACGTGGCACACTTCGCGTTTATTTTGCCATTCGTTAGTAAGTGTTGACGCTTAAAGACTATCATGGAGGTTAATACTACTCTATCAAAACGCAACTTAGACTTGCGCATCTTGGCGCAGAAACTTCTTTCTTCGGCGAACCGGTCACAGCCATTTCTGGACAACGAAACGGAGAGCTTATCAGAGGAGGATTTGGACGTGAATACAGACATCTATTCTAAAGTTTTGGTGACTGTGATTTACGTGGTGTTGTTTTTAATTGGGTGTTTGGGAAACTCGATCACCTTATACACACTTCTCACCAAGAAATCTCTCCAAAACCTCCAGAGCACGGTGCACTATCACCTGGCGAGTCTGGCCATATCCGACCTGCTCATCCTGGTCCTCTGCATGCCAATTGAGTTGTACAACTTCATCTGGGTGCACCACCCGTGGGCTTTTGGGGAGGCTGTATGTAAAGGCTACTACTTTCTCCGGGACGGCTGCTCGTACGCGACGGCGTTCAACATCGCCAGCCTGAGCGTGGAGCGCTTTATGGCCATCTGCCACCCGTTCAAGGCGAAGAGCATCATGTCGCGGAGCCGCACCAAGAAACTCATCAGTGCCATGTGGATAGCCTCATTTTTCCTCGCCACTCCGATGCTCTTCACGATGGGACAGCAACTGATGAACGATGAATATATATGTACAACCATCGTGTCCTCGATAACTGCTAAAACCGTCCTACAGGTGAGCGCTGTTATATGCTTGCAGGAGTGAAAATGTCTTTACATTTGATCATAAAAGCGTTGATGGTGTTGTGTTGGCTTTATACGTACGCAAGCGGTATAGGGACGCAACCTGTTGCCTTACATTTTCATGCTGATTTAACTAACAACGAAAAAAAGTTAATATGTAATAAATAATAAATAAAACTACATTTAAATATACATATTTTTTATTACCGCTTGTATTATATATGTGTAAATATTAAATATATTTAAAATGTACAAGATGGAAAGAATCTTAATGCTTATATTATGTACAGTAAAGAATAATGCTTTCAGGCATTCAAGTCAATTTAAAAAGAAAACAAACAAGCAAATGCTTTATAAGCTAAAACAAACGTGCACTATTTATATAATAAAAAAACGATAGAATTATATATTATAGATGGCGACGCAGTGGCACAGTAGGTAGTGCTATAGTCTCACAGCAAGAAGGTGTGTGTCCATTTACACAAGGTGTGTGTGTGTGTGTGTGTGTGTGTGAATGAGTGTTTGTGGATGTTTCCCTGAGATGGGTTGCGGCTGGAAGGGCATCCGCTGTGTAAAAACGTGCTGGATAAGTTGGCGGTTCATTCCGCTGTGGCGACCCGGGATTAATAAAGGCACTAAGCCGACTAGAAAATGAATGAATTATTGTATATATTATAGAGTTATTATAAAATATTAAGATATGTTAATTTGGGAAACAAAGTTACATAAAATGCAGGTGACAGTGGCACAGTAAGTAGTGCTGTCGCCTCACAGCAAGAAGGTCGCTTGTTCGAACCTCGGCTGGGTCAGTTGGTGTTTCTGTGTAGAGTTTGCATGTTCTCCCTGCATTCGTGTGGGTTTCCTCCGAGTGCTCCAGTTTCCCCCTCAGTTGAAAGACATGCGGTACATTTTCCTTAGTGTGTGAGTGTGAATGAGTGTGTATGGATGTTTTCCAGTGATGGGTTACAGCTGGAAGGGCATCCGTTGCGTAAAACATGTGCTGGATTAGTTGGCGGTTCATTCCGCTGTGGCGACTATGGATTAATAAAGGGACAAGACCGAAAGAAAATTAATGAATAAGTTACATAAAATGTAAAAAAAAAAAAAAAAAAAAACTTCAATTTAGCAAAAATGCTAAAAATTGTTTTAATCATATACCTACTCAATTCAGGTTTTATTTTCGTAAATACAATATTTAAGAAGCTTTAGATATTTATTCCTGAAAATAAGACAAAAATATGTAGTAAGACAATAGTTTCTTGTAATTAAGTCTGAATAAACCGCATTGTCCAGCATGGATTATGCGTGTGACATGGTGTACAAAACCGAAATGAAGAAAAAAATCCAACTAAACAAGTACAAGTTATCAAAATGTTATCAAATCCAGACATGCTGATTGAAATAGAAGACCCTAGCAAGCAGCATGAGCTGAAGCCCAATAGGTGCCAGTGTAAAGGTACTACTGTAAGGAACAAAAGAGGCTGACTTAAAAAAAAAATCCTATCTTTAAAAAAGATTGAGTTTTTACCTTAAGAAGCTGTTTCTTCTTAAATAAGGATCTGACACGGTTTAACCTAATGCATTCGGCTTGATTGAGTCATACTGAAAACATTTTGCATTGCATTGTGTTTGTTTTCTGAAGGACATGATCAGCAGTTACATTATTTATTATGCATTATGCCTGTTTGATTATTTCGGAATTGCAAATTAATTGGTAATGTCTTGATTATTCAAACCCATTAAAATAAGGAGCAGCGGGGTTCTTATTTCTTTCGTTGTAAGTACTGATGGCCATGAAAGGCTAAACAAATCAATGATATTAATGAATTTTACCACTCTTGTAAATGTAAGTTTAAAACAATTAATATAAGGATGTCAGGATTTCAAAAATAAAGATTTGCTTTCTTTCGAAAATGGAATGCACTCACTGTGGCCTAAAGTAAATTCTGATTGGCTGGAAATGCAGACATTATGCTTTGATTCTTGGAAAATTGTCCTTGCAGCCTAAACCTTGCGCCCGCCTTATTCTTTTCTATTACACCAGTGAATCTAATTTAGACTGGAACACAATCCATTTACAAGGACGAGAGGTCTTCTGCTTTTAACGCTCAGATTTAGAACTCTGTACATTCAGAACAAAAACAGAAAATACACACGGGATGAGAGTATATCACAAGGACACCATTAGAGCTTGAACAAAAAAAGCTATAAATACATTAAAATGATACTTAATTCTATATGGCATACTATTACTGCATTTGACTCATGAAATGATTGATGATAATTATACCTATAGCATAGCAGGCAGATTTAATGAGTCACAAGTTGTGTATCCTTTTCTTTTTTTTCAGTAATGCAGAGTGCTCTCTCAGATTTTTCAGATTTACTTGACAACAGTCTTGTCGTCAATCCCAGTTGTAAGCAACAAATAATAACTTGATTTCTAGTTGATTATTCGCAAAAGTGGCAGATTTTGTTTTGGTAAAATAAACATAATCTAGAGGCCTTTGCCTTTCATATAAGCCACTTCTGATTCCAAATCATCAACTAGATGTCAATTTAGTATTTGTTGTTCCTATAACTTAAATCGGTAACAATACTTTTGTCAGGTAGTGTATAGGCACACACAAACAAAACCCAAGTGGTGCAAAGAGAGAAAGAATAAAGAACAAATGTATAAGGGATGAATTGGTTTCATCAGTCATTGCTGAGTGTGTGTGTATCATCCTGAGATCCTCCAATCAAAAGAAAGATCTTTGCAATTGTAGCTGTTTGCGACAGTACAAGCAGTTTATCATGTTTCGATCATGGTAAATTGGTTACCACAGAAAACCCCAAGCTGTCCACTTTCATATAAAGAAATATGAAATATGATTCAGTGTTGTATATTTCTATAGCGATACCTGGAATTTGAGTGCCCTGTGGGGCACAGAATGATTGCAGAAAGAGAAAATAAATGGTCTTATATTACTTTTTGGAAATGTGGTTTCAACTCAACCCAAGAAGTGTAAACTTACATAAATATGTATGTTTCTGAAATCCTTCTGTTTGGTAATGGTTGTTGAATAGGAATCTAAATACGATCTGTACCATTGCTTTTCACCTTTCTAATGCTTTGCCCTCTTTTGTTTGTTGTTGTGATCTTTCTTATTGCACATTTTGCGCCTGCAACTAATTCAGTGCTGCACTTGAAAGTGCATGAGCACAAATATACAAATAAAATGAGACTGAAATAAATATAGCAGCAGGAGGTGATGCTGGCGAGGATGTGTGGCTGATAGCTGATATTGGTCTGGCACTGCATTCTGGCATGTGTTTAGAGCTCTTCTCGCCATAAAAAGGAAGGAAGATTGGTTTAGTCAAAGTTTTCAGCTTCTGACACTTTCAACTGCACAACACCATTCATGAAGCACAGCTTTCTGAAGTCAACAGAACAGAACACCTGCAAGAAGCACCAGTGGGGGTGGAAATAAATAGCAAATAGATTTCACGACTGAGAAGTAGATTAAATTGTATGCCAATTTTAATATTGGAAAACAGAAAGTCTAATAAATGTTCTGTTTATTTTAAAACATAATTAGTTGGCACAATTCATATATATATTTATATATATATATATATATATATATATATATATATATATATATATATATATATATATATATATATATACAATTTGTCAGAATTATTATTATTATTATTATTATTAATAATATTTTTTTCTTTTTTAAATGTTTCCGAAATGATGTTAAACAGAGCAAGGAAATTTTCACTGTATGTCTGATAATATTTTTTCTTCAGGAGAAAGTCTTATTTGTTTTTTTCGGCTAGAATAAAAGCAGTTTTTATTTTTTTTATTTTTTTTAAAGTCAAAATTATTAGCCCCTTTAAGCTATATATTTTTTCAAAACCATCGTTATACAATAACTTGCTCAATTAATAATAATAATTAATAATAATAATTCCTTACATTTCTATAGCGCTTTTCTGGGCACTCAAAGCGCTTTACACAGTGGGGGGAATCTCCTTATTCACCACCAGTGTGCAGCATCCACCTGGATGACGCGACGGCAGCATTTTGCGCCAGACCGCACACCACACACCAGCTGATTGATGGAGAGGAGACAGTGATGCAGCCAATTGAATATGGGGATGGTTAGGAGGCCATGATGGACAAAGGCCAGTGGGCAGATTTGGCCAGGATGCCAGGGTTAAACCCCTACTCTTTTCGAAGGACTTCCTGGGATTTTTAACGACCACAGAGAGTCGGGACCTCGGTTTAACGTCTCATCCGAAAGACGGCGCTCACTGAGCAGTATAGTGTCCCCGTCACTATACTGGGGCATTAGGACCCACACAGACCGCAGGTTGGGCGCCCCCTGCTGGCCTCACTAACACCACTTCCGGAAGCAACCTAGCTTTCCCATGTGATCTCCCATCCAGGTACTGACCGGGCACAGCCCTGCTTAGCTTCAGTGGGCGACCATGTGAGAGTTGCAGAGAGCTAGCTGCCGGCTGCAATTACCCTAACCTGCCTAGTTTACCTAATTAACCTAGTTAAGCCTTTAAATGTCACTTTAAGCTGTATAGAAGTGTCTTGAAAAAATATCTAGTCAAATATTATTTACTGTCATCATGGCAAAGATTAAAAAAAAAATCAGTTATTAGAAATTAGTTATGACAACTATTATGGAAAAAAAAAATCTTCTCACTGTTAAACAGAAATTGGGGAAAAAAATAAACGGGGGCTAATAATTCTGACTTCAGCTATATACATTCATGCAGTATCATCTTCTCAAGACCTTGTTTGATCAGGCTCATTATCAAATTTACTTATAGTTTTAAAAAATAAAAATATGCGTGACTGCCTCTTTGCCATTTTGAAAATACAAATATTATTTCGGTAGGCCACTATACCGCTATTTATTTTTTTAATATCTGTAATTGCATTTATAATTTCACTGTTGACCCATCCCTTAAACCTTAACTCAC